GCTCTTCCGATCTCTCCTCCAACTCGAACCTTCTTTCTCATTTCCTCTAATTTATACAGCAAAGTGATCGAAATTTCCTATGAGTCTCTCAGACTCAGTGCTGTGTTTTAGGGTTAATTTTATGGCGAATATGCAAATTGCGACACGGCTCGGATAACGCTAGCACTCTCTCGACGCGACGCGACGCTTTTACGCGCCTGTCGCGGTGGGCGGCTATTACGCGTTATGAGGACGTAATTACTTTTTCTGCGATTGCGGAACGGATAATTAATTGTTTCGAGCGTAATTGTTTCTCGGGCCGGGAGAAGACCCTCCTCGTAAGCCGAGTCGGCTCGTCAAAGTTTACGCTTCTAAATTAAACTTGATCGGCAGCGCCGGCCTCGACGGCAGGTCCTGCGTGATGAGGGCGCTCTGCGAGGCGGGTCAGCGAGAACCTGCCCATGTAGGCGCGGGAACCTTCGTTCAGGAGCTCCTCCATGCAATTTTCACGTAAGTGAACATCTCTTTTTTTTATATACAATAACATTTATACCAATTTACATTTTAATTAAACAAATGTTAACAATTTTTGATAAAAAATAAATTTTGAAAAAAAATGACGCTTTGCACGCGGTGCGTATTAAACTCCATACATTGTTCAATAACATTTATACCAAATTACATTTTAATTAAACAAATTTTAACAATTTTCAATAAAATGACGTTTTAATCGGCCATATTGAATCGGCCATTTTTTAATAAAATCATGATTTCTTACAAAATAGTCACATAATTCATCTTTAAGATGAGCCCAGAAAGAAGTCTATATCTTTATTTTCTTGGAAGATATGAATTTTTAAACATTGGGGAAAAGAGGCTTCAATCGTCGGTAACACGCCAATTTTAAGATAGGAATATAAAATCGAAAGCATTCGTATAAATTCGTTCCTTTATCTGGAAGCTCCCGCCCTCAGATTTTATAATTTTATAGCCAGTCGCTATCTTTAACTGTTAAACAAGGAAGCTCAATTGATCGGAAAACGAGACTTTGGAAATATATAAATATTAAATCCAATTCAGAGGGGGAATTCCGTCACTCGGGCGATTCGTGTGTTCGCAGATTGCCGAGGGACGGTGCCAGATTCGAGCGGACGGAGGACCGCGCTTACGATCGCGCATACGAGACGGGCGGCGACTGCGAACGGCTGTACCCCACGTGCCGGCACTCCATTTACGACGTGGACTTTTGAAGAGGCTGCGGCAGAAGAGCCGCGACACAGACTCTCTCTTTTTCTTTTTTCTCTCTCTCTCTTTCTTTCTTTCTTTCTCACCGCGTCATCCGGAAAGCCGCGTCGTCGCGGCGAAACTGCGGAGCGCAAATCTGACGGGAAACTTTGCCTCGGCGAAGTTTTTCCTGGCACTGGGCCCGTTCCGCGGCGATTTTTCTGCCTGACGTTTCGGTGTCGGCTTCGCGCCGAATCATATTGCGGCGCATCGGACTGACGACTGATACCTAAAACGGCCAGCCTGTTGTGCGTTGTTGATTACGTATCGTTTATTATACGTTTCAAATGCAATTTTATCGTTTATTGAAAGCGAATAGACTAGATGAGAGATCAAATTTCGCGCAACGTGTCAATTGTACAAAATTTGAGCTCGTGTACGTATGTCGCGCTTTAAAAAGAATTATTTGTTGTAAAATACCTTTAGCTTAACGTATTAATTAAGTTAATTTGTCAACCTAATTATACGTACATTTGCCGTTGTATGAGTATAAGTAACATGTATGACAATAATAATAATAATGACGATAGCTTTGTTACGTGCACGTAAAATTTTGTGATACGTCAGATGATTACAAAAAATAATGTATACGTACATATGGAAGCCAATATGAAATATATAGGTATAATTTGATAATCCATTTTCCGAATTCCACTCCACATTCTAATAATATCTTCACGCGACTATATTGCACTCGATTAATCGAGTGCGCGAGTGTGTCGCGCACTTATACGTGCGGATTTCAACAACAATATACATTTTTTCGCCGGCCGATACGCAGCCACGTTGAAGGGCCACAACGTACCGTTGAGGAGGGACGACAAACGATTATTTAACATCAACGACGATTCCCGGGATTAAATTCAGAAAGTTTCGCGCGAGGCTCCCGACCCATGAATATTCTATATCGGTCATTACATTACTTCCGCAACGTGTAATTCATTTCGGCGCGGTTTCGAATAATTTCACGACGTTTTGCATTAATAAAACCGTCGCCGGGCTCTCGTCGATTTATGGTTCATTTCTGTAGAGTGCTCCGACGGTTGATTCTTCTCTCTCTCTCTCCCTCTTTTCAGCTCTCTTTCTTTTTTCGAACGGAAATAAAATATGCCAAATATATTTTCGTGTTGTAACGAACGTCTAATCGATATGCGATTCGCGGCGAACGTTTTGAATCCCTCATATATATATATATACCATATATATATATATATATATATATATACATATACACGAGCACCGCACGTTGTTCTTCCTCCTCGCACGTATATAGGTACCATCCGTCGGCGTTTGTCACGCCGCGTATACACGCGCTGGAAACTAGTCGCAAATGTAAGCACGTAATTGTATTTACTTGATGAAATTCCGCCCCGCGTAACTGCAACAAGCTTGTTTATTAACGATGTTTAACAAGGCAGCCCGGCGGCCACTTGACGTAATACTTTAGCCAACAGCCGGAAAATCCTGAGATAATGACTCCGTCGCCGGTTTGTAAAACCGGCGCGCGGCAGCGCCGCGTTTAAAGGATATTGTCGTCGTCGTGAAGATTGTAAAGCGGGGGATGTTTTCAGGGTGAAAGTTTTGCCCGCTCCCCTCCCTCCCTCCCTCCCACCCCGGTAAACCCTCGACCGCGGCGAAGGTATCCTTAACAACGTTTTTTACGTATATTTACATTCACGCGCGCGCATTTCGCTTTTGTTGTGCGCTCCGTATATGATTAATTTCGCGAAATATCATGATATATTCGGCCCAAATGAGATTGCTGGCACGCATCTGATTCGATAATGCGCCTCGCGGCTCGCGCGCGCGCGCTCGATTTAGCAGTTATTTTAGCCCGGGAATTTATCCCGAAGATAATTAAATTATTGCGGGTAAACGTTTGTCGCGCGGGATATCTGGGGGAAAAAAAGGAAAGCGCATACGCGAAGTGCAGTTAGTAATTGCGTATGTACGTATTATCTGCGGAATGTCGGATATTTTTTTTGTTACGCGAGTAAATTGAAGAAAACTCCTCCGGCGCGTTATTGGGCTTCCGCCGAGGTGAAAACGTCCTCGTTTAGGAGATATATTATATATACATATATATATATATATATATATATATATATATATATATATATTGTGTTCGGCTGACAGTAATTCGAATCGGGTTAATCAGCTTACGGCTTAATTCGATGTAACCGATAACCAATTAAAATGTTAATTTGATAATTATTCTTGCAATTTGCTTCATACCACTAATTACATTGTCGTACATCGCGCGGATAATAATATTCAGGTAATTGCGATTTCAGGTAACAAAGAGAGGTAGATAGTCTTGCCGGACTTGAAGGAATACAATGAAAAGGAGGGGAGAGCGAAGGGTTGAAGGATTACGGATAAACGTAATAGGGTGCATTTGTGTATTTTACGGACTTAGAGAGGGCATTTTCAGACCAGATGTTTCATATTCTCAATTTTATCATCCAATCGCTTTGAATTAATTTACGAGATAACGCGTTTTTGCGCGGAACGCTCAAGTTTTCTTAAACTTCCCCATTTTCTCCGCGGCAGGGAGGGAGGGAGGAAATGAAGAACACAGAGTGAAATTATTCTCCATTTACTCATCGTTAGAGCAGGTAATGGAGTACCGTTGCTCTTCGAACGCCGCAGACGGATGTCTGCAGTTCGTTAGCGTTTGTTCTCGCGAGAACAACGGTCACGCAACTCGAACTCCGTTCTCTATCATTAAGGATTAACATCTTTAGCTCCGCTCGGTGGAACGCGAAATTTTCCGTACCGCGATGCTGATTAATCAGCTGCGCCATCTCATTCTGCTCGGCGTACTCGCGCCGCGCTACGGCGGTTCGAGGTTTCCGAACGGCTCGCTCGTAAGATCCGGGAGAGACGTTGGAATCAAGTATCTGGTGTTCCCCGAAGGCAGCAACGTACAAGTAAGATAAAACTTTTCACTTCTACACGTGTATCCCGATTGTTGCGGTAACGGCTCTCCGCTCGCGGAGAAATAACGGCGATTACTGTCCTCCCTCGCGTCGAGCTTTCGCGTTCGCGAATTTGCGATGCATGAACTTGGAAAATATAAGGGAAGTGTAAACGCACCTGTTACGCTCGCTTTCGTGTTCGTTTGGGGGGGATGAGGGGGGGGGAGAAGGTGAGATCCGTTATTAAAGTGAAATCGTAATCTTCGTGGGCGCTCTCTCTCTCTCTCTCTCTCTCTCTCTCTCTCTCGTGTTTTTACGCGAAACGTGGCCCGGACAGGGTCGATACGAAGCCCGGCGGAAGTTTCGTCCCCCGCGCGAAGTTGTATATTATGGCAACATAAACTCGCGATACAGTTTAGCTTAGGAAGTTTCATATGCTAAATGAAACGGAACTCCCTTTATGCGTAACGTTTAAAAAGACGCTCTAATAAGCGGAGCTGCACAACATGGAGTAATAACGAACTTCGTGAAAGGGAAGGATATCGATCCGTAATATATATATACATGTATATGTAAAATTCGTTTTAAATTAATATGTAAAACGCGTTGCCGCAAATAAAACGCCGAAATAAAACACGCGCGCATCGAATTGCACATAATAAAATAATTTGATTCGTGCAAATTAATTTTAATATATATAAAAGTTAATTTGCAGAAGTTAATTAATCAGTAATTAATAATAACATCTCTCTCTCTCTCTCTCTCTCTCTTTTTCTTTTTCCCTCTCTCTCCTGCTCTTTTGAGAGCTAAAAGCAAATTATAATTACTTATTTGCAATTTAACAGAATTTAATTTGGCGTTAAACTTCCTTCTCCACACCTGTCCACTATTATTACACAGCTCGTCTACTGTCTAACCATGGCCACGCATTCGAAGCCCCAAGGAATGTTTACCATTGGTGTTACCGCCGGGCTGGCGTGGGAACTACCCTACAGAAATACCGTGCTGTACGGGAAGCCAGCCGAGGTTTATCATCGTCGGAGCAGAAGAGAGCTGTACCGTAAAGTGGAGCTGATGCTAAGAACGTGAGTGAGAAAGACAAGGGACAAAGACAAGGAAGCGCCTGCAGAGAGAACCGCCGTTTCCTCCTCTCATATTCCGTATAGAACTTCACGCAAAAAAAAAGGATTAGCTAATGTAGCTAAAATATAGCTATGACAGCTAAGATATGTCCTTAAAATAGAGACAGCTAATGTCGTTGCTGCCGAAGCTTAATTTATTAGTTATTAAAATGTAGGTGTTACAGCAAAAAATATTTGCTGCTAAAATCAAATGATATTTAGCTGATAGATCTACTATACTATTTTATTTTCGTAATAGAGATTATAATAACATTTGCAGTATATATAGCTCATATACTGCAAAATATAAATGCTAAATGCGCTGCAGATATGCATATATGGCAGTGCCACATTGCAGAAACAATTACAAATCAAATTTTTGCGCGTACACGGAAAGAACGATTGTGTTGAAAGATCTAAAAATTTTACTGAAAACAGATCTGAAAATAAATTTTTGTTGAATCATCAAAATAATTTGTTGGAATGTTAGAACTGATAAGCATTGCTATAAAACGTTTTGCTTTTACACAAAATTATTTTGATTATTGAACAAAAATTATTTTCAGATCTGGATTCAGCAAAATTGTTCTTTCCGTGTAGCTATGAACTTAGCTATGCGTGCTAAATGTGTACATGATAAGACATTTAAGTTCGCATGCCATCTTTTTAGCTGCCTGTTCTAACATATATGTACACCCACGGTCATCGATTCTGTCCCTCGGAAATTTTCACAAACTCTGAAGTGATCACTTTTCTACATTAATGCTCATAATCCATGCACGATTAACGAAACGAAATCGTGCATGGACTATAAGCATTAATGTAGAAAAGTGATCACTTCAGAGTTTGTGAAAATTTCCGAGGGACAGAATCGATGACCGTGGGTGTACTTTTAATTTTAGTTGATAAATTTTTTTACCACAACAATGATTGTTTTTTGTTTGTAATAGCCAGAACTTAGCAATGACACTAAGGCGGTAGCTCTTATGGCTAAATTTGATTCAGCTATTGAAATTTAACTGCTATTACCAAGTTATTTGTTTGCGTGTTGGTAAAAAATTAGTGACAAACGCGTTGTCTGTATACAAAAAAAAACAATGACATGAATTATTCTAATAATGCGGAAACTGATGACGTGGAAACTGCAGGTCTTCGGCGCACGGCGAGAAAAAAATATGAATCGCCATTGCAACGATTACGACATGCTCCGCCGTATACGAGAGAAAAATCGAATATTTCATCATTTTATTTCACGTCCGAGTCTATTTCATTCTCCTCTACTGATCAGATTTATCCTCCTCCTTCTCTTCCTCGAGTGGAAGGTCCTGATGGAAAAATGGTAATTCTATTGAACGCGAACGAAGGGCGAGGGACTTATCGTGAGATTTTTGTTTCATCGACTTGTCGGGCAAGTCCGCTGCCTCCCCGGGGTTTCACGAAGAAAAATAGACCCGAGCCGTTATTGGAAAGCTTCTCATCTGCGTCGCGAAAAATGCTTCTGCGTTTTCCCGAAAGCGAAACGCCTCCTCTCGTTTCGAGAGAGAGAGAGAGAGCGCGTGGAGTTCGATTCGCGGAGGAAAAATCACAACGCGCCGGAAGTTTAAAATTCGAGCAGTCATCCGGTGACTGCGTAATCGACGTCTCTCGCGCGCGAAGAGAATCTAAAAATGAATCGTCGTAATGCTCCACGTGCAGCGCGCGCGCGTGACTGTAATAAACGTTACACTTGATAAATCCAAATTTACCCCGGCGAGAGACACGCGGGACGAATGTATTTCACGGCCGATGAAGCGGGCAGGGAAACGCTCTTAAGCGCGGGTTCCTCGAGCGGCCGAGAGCGACGGATTAAGCGTGCGGGTCGGAAAATTGTCCCGCAGGAAACGACGATGATTCCACGGGTATGACCGACGACGGCGCGTATTTAATGCCATGTAAAACCGCGTCGCGCTGGGAGTGCGGCGCGTTTCAACCGCCGCGCGGACACGGTTCGAGCGCTCACGGGCTCGAACCACATTAAGCGCGCGGATTAAGAGGCTTCTCGAAATGATCGCGACTGCCCCGACTGTTGCACGAGCAATGCACCAGCCGGTTATCCCGCGCGTGGTGGAAACGAGAATCGAAAACGGCCGACGGGAATCGGCGAGAGCAGCGGCCGAAAAGGGTTCTTTTCCTCCCTTCGCTCGCTTTCTGCTCCTTTTTCAATGCGGAATTACGTCTCTCGACGTGTAAAAAAAAAGTTAATTGAATCGTTCTTGTACGTACATCGCGAAGCGTTACAAATCCGTGGACGCGAGCTGCGATCGATCGATCGATCGAGTCGGGGTGATCGCGAAAGAACACGATCGTCGGCGGACGCACTCGATTTATTGGAACGCTTAGTGGAAACAATTTGTCTCCTCCTCCCCCGCCGCGGGGGGCACCCGCGGGAGTTGTTAGGAGCAATTATATTCGCACCGCGATTGAACCGGCCGACAATTCCATTCCAAATTGATAACATGTATCTCGATGTCATTTCTGACTTAATCGGATTTTCGACACGTCCGCGCTCGCGCCGGCCATTGCGCGAGCGATCTCCACCGATACCGCGCTTTGCCGCGTACAAATATAAATTCAGTTGTTACGGCGACCGTGACTAATACCGTGATATACGAGTGTAAACGTTGCCAGGCCCGTCCCGAAATCGGTCGAAAAACCGATTCTGCGGAATCATTTTCGCGTCCGTCGCGACACGAGAGAAGAAAATCAGGGGAGAATCTTGCGCGCGCCGTCGCGCCTTTAGTATCGGTCCACAATGAGGATTTTAAGCCCTATAAGCAGTAAGATATAGATCAATCGCAGTCGAATATGAGGAAAATAATCGATTGTAGTTGGTCAATATCTTACACCCCAAAAAAAATATTCTAGTTATAAAGTGAAATTTCCTCTAATCCCATATTTTAAGTGAAAACTTTTACAGAAAGAAACTTTTTAAGAAAGTACTTTTACTTTTATTCTTGTTCCAATAAAGTGAACTGTTCATCTAAAATCTGATATTATTTTTCGGTTTTCCTCTTGTATTAAGAGGAATGTTTTTTTCAAGCGGAATGCCTTCTTACATGCGATATGAGTAACACGAAAATGTATATCGCTGCGTTTTGCCGTGACAATTGATTGAAGTGTTGCGCTGCATTTGCAAAAACAGACGCAGTAAGACTGCGTTCCGTTATTCATCGTACATACTGAAAAACTACAGTACAAATAATGTGCATTATAAATATAGATTTACAGTACAAGATTTGTATTGTAAATGCAAGACGAAATTATTCTAACTATTAGAATATTGTGCACAGAATATTTTCCTCTTAATTTCAGAGGATTCCTCTTGAGGCCATATACAAGAATAAAATCCTTTAAGATTTAGCGGATTCCACTAATATTAAAATTATTTTTTTTTTGGGTGTACGGTATAAGGCTTAAAATCTTTATTATGGACCGACACCTATATCTGTACAACGTTAACGGAAGGATATGGATTCGCGATTGTTGTCTGATGCTCGTCTCGAAAAAAAATTGCGCGGCGTTACTCGCGCGGAGGCGTTCGTGCCATCGCGACGCTTTATTCAGCTTTATTTCGCATCGCGCTACATCGCTCCGATGGGTCGGCTTCGTCTGATTCACTCCAAACTCGGTCGTTTGGCGTCACGCGGTTGTCGTGCCTGGAGCGTCTCTCAAGACATTCTCGCCGAGTAATCCACGGGAGCGCGAAGGGGACCCGTTATTTTAATTATGCGAAATCGCGGGTTCATCTGTCATTTGATAAAAGCGAAGATCGCGACGCTGACGAAAATGGCGTAGGTATGCAGATACAACAGCTGTAATAAAGGCCAAATCACGCTAGCGATTGCTGATTGGACTGCGATTGTGACTGGCGATTATTTTTCAATCAATCAGAGCAAAGCAGTCACCGATTGAGATTAGTGATTGCCGTTTAGACAATCCTCTATTTTATAATCGCAATCCGATCGGCAATCGCTAGTGTGATTTGGCCTTTAAAAAAAGAGCGTTGTCTGTCTCCTTTCTTATATCTCTGCCCTTTTTATCGCAATCCCAGCTGTTTATCTTGGTGGCTTTCCGCTCGAAACTCTGTCAAAATTATCGAACATGGTACATCTTGAATCTCAATATCTCACGTTTCATCAATTGCGTTTTCATCATCCAGCTGACCGAAGCTCGCGGCGAGATCCAATCTCGACGAACTTCAACTGTACGAAATATTAAGGAATATTAAGGAATCTAGAATCCTAGAGGATTTGTCCCATCAAACTCGGGACGTGGAGCAGCCCTTCCGGTCCGTCGATCGCGCTCGCATGCACGTATGCGCATAATCGACGAGGGAATTCCCCTCCCGACATATAAATCACATCCCACGCTTTTGCTTAACTGGATCGCGGACCGGATCGTCGGCCAGACACGTATCCCACATTCGTCCACGGATGGCGATCCTCAATCGAGACGTATTATATAATCTCTCCAGCCGACTGCATGCAGACGCGCGTATACACATTGCGGTGAAGTTTCAGTTAAGAATCGGGTCGCGGGGTTAATCCCGGGGACGGCAGAAGCGCCGGCGGTTACTCCAATTCGAATTGCGCGGAGCTACAGCCTAATTGCCGGTATTTGCTCGGCATGGGGAAACGATACGGATCGAAAGGGGTAAGCGAGGACTATAGGATGCCCTCGGTTGTTTAGCAGGTGTGCGGTGCGGGGCGAGGGGCAAGGGGCGAGGAGGGGGCTTATTGTAAACCACCCCCGGGTTTACAGTGCAGCTCGGTTTCGTGCTCGGTAATATCAACGCGGCGCGCGGGCCCCCTCCGCCTCTACCCTCCGGTATTATCGCGGACTTAATGAATGGACCGCCGACTCTTGGCGAGCTCGACAACGATAACGAGGATGATAATGATAAACGAGCCTCGCCCGCTTCGCGAATTTTCATCCCCCCTCTTCCGCCTCCCCCTCCTCCCCCTTCCCTCCCCCCCGCCGTTCTCTCGTCGCATCTCTCACCTTCTGTCTGTCACGAAGTCAGGGAAAGGACGGCAAGGCCTGCGTTCTCAAGGCGATCTGCAAAGCTGCCGGGCGTAGGCGCGAGGACGTCGGGAAGGGAAGCTTCCTCGAGGAGACCCTACACGCCATATTCACGTGAGTCGTGAATTAAATTAGATTAGGTGTATTTTCTTCTCTCTTAAATTTTTCACTTCGCTACATCATCGAAGATCGAGATTGAAATCTCGAATGTCAATATACGATATGGTGGAACGTTAGGTGCAGGAGCGACGAATTATAATGATTGCAGGCTGCCTGACGGATGGTACGACATCGATCCGATGACCGACTACGAGCGAACGTATCACTTGGGTGAGAATTGCGACGAGGTGCACGCCAAGTGTCCAGGTGTCTTCTGAATTGCCGCAATCAAGCGCGAACGTCTTGTACGCGCAGGCACGAAACGAGCAGCCATCACGAACGAAATCTCTCTCTCTCTCTCTCTCTCTCTCTCTCTCTCTCTCTCTCTCTCGCTTTCCCGCTCTCACGCTCACCCTCTCTCTAATCGAGCCTGAATGGCGGGCTCGAGATATCGCGCTAATAGCACCTAAAGCTCCTCGCTTTTCGTTAAAGTCTTTCGAGCACGATGATTCTTGCCCGCCGGCAAGAGGCTACGTTTCCGCGTGCTTTCCCATCTCTCTCTCCTCTCTCTCTCTGTCTCTCT